TGTGGCTCAAGTGGTAGAGTGCTAGCCTTGAGCTGAAGAGCTGAGGGACAGCACCCAGGCCCAGAGTTCAGGCCCCACAACTGGACCAAAAAAAATAAAAAATAAATAAAGAGCCAAGGGATGTAAGAAACACGGAGGCAGTCCCAGTGTTCTGTAGATCTCAGTAGGTAGGAGAATCATCTACCTTAGACCAAATTCTTCATTCTCCAAAACTCAATTACCCTGAAAGAACCACCATCACATTGGATGGGAGTCCTGCTTCTAGCCTGCTGTTCTTTGTTCCTATCTGACAGGCATGAAAGACTGACATGATTACTTTATGAAGGAGGGAATAGAGAAGACAAAGGAAGCAGAAAATTAGATTAATTGAGGGTTGAGTTATTGTGAATTAATCTGGATTTTAAATAGTTCAACAACCATAGGGCATTAAACTTTTGTTATGTTTATAAGAATAGAATCATTCTTTATTTCAATGTGCCAGTCATTGGGCTTGAGATTAGGGTCTGAGCCATGTTCCTGAGTGTGTTTTGTTCAAGTCTAGCACTCTAGTCCCCGACCCACAATTCCACTTCCAGTGTGTTTGGTAGCTAGTTAGAGAGATGAGTCTCATGGACTTTTCTGTCCTGTGTGGTTAAAAAATCATGATTCTCAGATCACAATCTCCTGAGAGGCTAGGATTATATCTGTGAGCACATATACTTGTCCTAGTCAGGAAAGACAAATACTCCTTTTTTATATAACTAAATATATAAAACTTTCAAGTTCTACCAATTTATTAGTTTTAAGTAAATTGTAGCTAAGTTGGATGAAAATGTAAATGAATTTGCCTGATATTTGACTGTGTATAATTTAATCCTTTAGGCTGGAAGAGATTAAAACAGGAGATCTTGTACTTGAAGATTTTATTGAAAGGTGAGATACATTCCTATATGTATGTATATATGTACATAAAGATACACAGGTATTAAGCCAGAATTTTTGGGAGAGGTATCAAAAGATTGGACATTACAGCTTTGTCTGTAATGTTCTCAGTTTTCCAAGTTAGGTGAGTGAATGAGAAACCAGTCAGAAGACAGCCTCAGTTCTATTTTAGTGAGCAGTGAGTAAAACTCCTAGCAAGCTATCAGATAGCCTATATATGAGACCCTATTTGAATGGACAGTATATATGTTTTGTGACTTTACTAACAAATTATCACAAACAAAATAGCTCATGTACTTAAAAATATTCCACAGTCCTTGGGGATAGAAGTCTTATGTCAAAGTGCCATTGGTGTTGGCTCTTTTTCTGGTCTGTTAAAAATAATCTTTTCATACCCCTTTTTCCTATTTTGCTGTTTGTTTACAATTGTATAACATGGGTACTTGTCCTCTAATTCTCTGCATCATCGTCGTTGTCCTCCTCCTCCTCATCATCACTATTAGTATCAATATTATTATTATTATTATTGTCCTTTTGTTCCAGTCTTCTGGCTTGAACTCAGAGCCAGGGTGCAGACCTTGAACATATATTTGCTCAAAGCTAGTGCCTACCCCTTGAGACACAGGTCTACTGCTGTTGTTCTGAGGAGTTTATAGCAGATAAAAGTCTTAGGAGCTGGCTGCTAGTGGCTCATGCCTGTAATCCTAGGTACTCAGAAGGCTGAGCTCTGAGAATCATGGTTTTAAGCCAGCCCAGGCAGAAAAGTACATGAGACTTTTATTTCCAACAAACTATTCAGAAAAAGCTGGAAGTGGCTTTGTGGTTAAAGAGGTAGAGGTCTAGCCAGGAACAAAAGAAGCTCAGGGACAGTGTCTAGGCCCTGTGTTGTAACCTTAGAACCACCGTGCGTGCGCGCGTGCGTGTGTGTGTGTGTGTGTGTGTGTGTGTCTCCACAGGACCACATACACACATGCATATAGATGCATGCGCGCGCGCGTGCGCGCACACACACACACACACACACACACACACACAAACACATGCAAACACACACAGAGGCTCAGGGACTTGTCTCCCTGGCTGACTTCAAGCTGAGACCCTTGTTTCTCAGCTTCCTGACCAGATATGATTATATGTGTGAGCTACATGCACCTGGCCTAGGAAATCAATAGTCTTAAATCTGCCGTGAAGCATTTCTTTTGCAGATGGGTAGATTTACTTTGCCCTAGACATCTTGTTTCTCAAGATAACTAGAAATACCCCTTTCCTTATAACTAGGTATATAAAATTTCAAGTTCTACCAGTTTATTAATTTTAAGAGAATTGTAGCTAATGAGTGAAGAAGTTAGGGAAGGAATTTACCCCATATTTGACTTTGCATAATATAATTGTTTAATTGTTTAAGGTGGATATAAATGAACCAATCGAGCTCGAGCTCACACTGGAAGATGTCAGCAAAAGATCAGATGCACGCATATATATATATATATATATATATATTTGTTTGTATACATACATACATACAAATATACATGCATACATACATACATACATACATAAATACAAAGATACAGAGATATTAAGCCAGAATTTCTGGGAACTATATCAAAAAGGTGGTCATTTACTCTCCCCACTAGATAGACCAACTCAGCAAAAACTCAACAGAGAAACCACAGATCTAAACAGCTGCATAGATCAACTAGACTTAACAGACATCTACCGAACATTTCACCCAGCAACATCAGAATACACGTTTTTCTCAGCAGCACATGGAACGTTTTCTAAAATAGACCACATTTTAGGCCACAAAGCAAACTTGTCTAAATTCAGAAATATTG